GTAACCGTGACTAAATTGTTCCTTCATGGTTCAAGCCCAAAGACAGGCCCCTTTGAGAAAAACTTGGATGAATGAAGCCGCTGATAGCTTGTTGTGAGGTGGAACTCACTTAGAAGCGAAACAAACGCGTTTTATTTGACACAGGTAGTTTCGTAAAGGTCATTTACGGTGAAGAACAAAAGGTGCTGGAATGTCTGACTCAGACAACTTGAAATCAAACCGCAAAACTCGGGGCAAAATCGAAACTTTATTGATGATCAAGAGGTTAATCTGGCAATAATTAACAAAAATGGAATGCTGTACCAGAAAACCAACTTTTCTCGAGTATCCAGTTCAAGCAATAGTTGACCAGATTTGCTGAGCGGTGTTTTTTTTAACACTTTTGACCTCAGTTGACTAAGACCAGCAAATAATTCCAAATATTTTGTGCAAATTTCTCCCCACCACTTGTAACCGCTGCTTCACTCCTACGAGTTTAAAAAAAACCTACCTTCTGTAGCTTTGTCGTCATAGGTGTAGACAGAAAAGGCCATGTTACTCCGTCTCTTCTTCAACAATCTGACAAACTCCAATTCCGAATACTTGCCGTTTTCGAAAGTAGAAATTGCATGCTTGGAAAATTTTAATTTGATGCGAACATAAAGGTCATCGTTGGGTGCAATCTTTCGGCTGTGAGGATAACACTCATAAGAATCCGAAGTGATAGAATGTATCACGTGAGCCAACTGAAAAGAAGAAAGATAGGCATTCGCGTAAGATGTGAGCGGAGGAGGGAGAGTATGGGCGCTTCCATTAGTTTTAGGTGCATTTATTTAGAGATACTCTAGAGATCACTGATGTCTGCAGATTTTGAAAGTTGCGAGAGTGTTAGCACATATGTAAACATTAGCCTTGTTATTCAAGTCCTCTCCAGTAGAATTTCTACATCAGATATATCACATGTCCCCATAGTGATCTGGTGAAAGCAGCTCGGCGATAATTTTACTTATGATGGATTATCCAAGGAACGAGAGCATTTCGATATGGATAATTTACTCAAGTTATCATTTTGCAGGTGAGCTTATGCTGAAAAAACGAGACTAATTGTACAATCGTTTTGTCCTTGTTCGGAATCATCTACTATTCACAACTCACGAATCCCCGCGACCGGTTGTTGAATATATATAATACCATTCGGCCACTAGTGCGCCCAACTCGTACCAAGAGAGAACATCAATTCATCATTCTTCGATTCGCCACGCTTTCCGGTGCTAGTAGACTTCTAGAATGACGGATTTTAATTTTGAAAGCTCATCTGAACGGTAACTTTTCTTTGAGAGTAGGCGGCTTTTAGTTCGTGGGGATTATGAAGAACATATTAAAATGATGGAATATCTGTCCATACACATCCGAGTGGCGCCAATCAACCAACAAGCACTCAGCGGAAGGAAGTTCGTTTTTCACCCTTAATGCATCCACACAATGAATCTATGCTGAAAACTTTGTTTAAAGTTATTTTCCTCACTAGCGAAGTGTTTCTGTTCTATGGCCATCGAAATTTGGTCCCTTTAAGTAAACAACAAACTTCGAGTCTTTACCAATTGTATATATTGACAGAAGCTCAACATTCTTACGTGATTTCAGCACATATGTCAATCAATCTCTGTCGAAGTTTGTGATTCAAGAAGCCTAATTTGTTTATATAACAGAATAGGACTTGGATTATGGTGACCTTTCCAGATAGTCTCCAGAGAAGTAGCAAATTAAGTTACAATAATCCAACTTGGTCACTGGAGTTGCCAGCGATTCATCCCTCATTTACAGATTTGTGACGTAGAAAGTTGCTGTGACAAGGCTGGACGATGTTTTTTTAGTGACAGGCTTCTGCTCTGGTCAAAACGGGTGTTGGAATGTGTGTGGGCTCTTTTGGTTTGATAAGACATCGGCAAGCCACTGCCGAGCTGCAAGAAGTTAACATGAATTAGCTGTACATCCACCAAACAGATCCTGGAACAGCAACATTGCTTCCAGCAACCAACAATGGTAGTCTTAGCCCTCTTTGATGAACTACATATCTAATCAACTGGACACGTAAAGTTGTACAAAAAACGATCACCTGACTTCATTGTAAGCAGTGGTATCAAGTGAGACTATCCTCTTCCACCTTTTCTGTACATGGAAATCTCACTTCTGGCCTCTAGTGCACGTGGTATAGAAATTCCTCCAAGGAATTCGCTCACAGACACCAAGTAGGTAGACGGCATAGCCAATCTTAAATCTGATGCCAAGGTTATGCTGAAAATGTTAAATAGTCTAAGCAACTCCACATTTTACACTTGCGAAATCTAGAATGCTGTTGTCAGTCTGGGTGGGAGTGAGCCCGAATCTCAAACCCGAGGATGAGCCGATTGGGACTGCAGATAAATTGGTCTAATCGGTAGTTGTATCAGTTCTAAACTTGAATTAAAGAAGGTACTTTCGTCCGGATAGGTGCACTAAGCCCCACTCCTTGCGAATAGGCCAATGGATGCTTGGTACAAGTCAAGCCAATCAAGGAGACAAAGTTACCATCCATCGAAAAACAAAACGTTGGATCTCAGAAGCTCTATAAAGATGTCCTTCTCATTAGACAGCTATTCGGAGTCTTATAGACTTGGTTTTTTCAAGCTGTAACCGTGACTAAATTGTTCCTTCATGGTTCAAGCCCAAAGACAGGCCCCTTTGAGAAAAACTTGGATGAATGAAGCCGCTGATAGCTTGTTGTGAGGTGGAACTCACTTAGAAGCGAAACAAACGCGTTTTATTTGACACAGGTAGTTTCGTAAAGGTCATTTACGGTGAAGAACAAAAGGTGCTGGAATGTCTGACTCAGACAACTTGAAATCAAACCGCAAAACTCGGGGCAAAATCGAAACTTTATTGATGATCAAGAGGTTAATCTGGCAATAATTAACAAAAATGGAATGCTGTACCAGAAAACCAACTTTTCTCGAGTATCCAGTTCAAGCAATAGTTGACCAGATTTGCTGAGCGGTGTTTTTTTTAACACTTTTGACCTCAGTTGACTAAGACCAGCAAATAATTCCAAATATTTTGTGCAAATTTCTCCCCACCACTTGTAACCGCTGCTTCACTCCTACGAGTTTAAAAAAAACCTACCTTCTGTAGCTTTGTCGTCATAGGTGTAGACAGAAAAGGCCATGTTACTCCGTCTCTTCTTCAACAATCTGACAAACTCCAATTCCGAATACTTGCCGTTTTCGAAAGTAGAAATTGCATGCTTGGAAAATTTTAATTTGATGCGAACATAAAGGTCATCGTTGGGTGCAATCTTTCGGCTGTGAGGATAACACTCATAAGAATCCGAAGTGATAGAATGTATCACGTGAGCCAACTGAAAAGAAGAAAGATAGGCATTCGCGTAAGATGTGAGCGGAGGAGGGAGAGTATGGGCGCTTCCATTAGTTTTAGGTGCATTTATTTAGAGATACTCTAGAGATCACTGATGTCTGCAGATTTTGAAAGTTGCGAGAGTGTTAGCACATATGTAAACATTAGCCTTGTTATTCAAGTCCTCTCCAGTAGAATTTCTACATCAGATATATCACATGTCCCCATAGTGATCTGGTGAAAGCAGCTCGGCGATAATTTTACTTATGATGGATTATCCAAGGAACGAGAGCATTTCGATATGGATAATTTACTCAAGTTATCATTTTGCAGGTGAGCTTATGCTGAAAAAACGAGACTAATTGTACAATCGTTTTGTCCTTGTTCGGAATCATCTACTATTCACAACTCACGAATCCCCGCGACCGGTTGTTGAATATATATAATACCATTCGGCCACTAGTGCGCCCAACTCGTACCAAGAGAGAACATCAATTCATCATTCTTCGATTCGCCACGCTTTCCGGTGCTAGTAGACTTCTAGAATGACGGATTTTAATTTTGAAAGCTCATCTGAACGGTAACTTTTCTTTGAGAGTAGGCGGCTTTTAGTTCGTGGGGATTATGAAGAACATATTAAAATGATGGAATATCTGTCCATACACATCCGAGTGGCGCCAATCAACCAACAAGCACTCAGCGGAAGGAAGTTCGTTTTTCACCCTTAATGCATCCACACAATGAATCTATGCTGAAAACTTTGTTTTATTTTATTTTCCTCACTAGCGAAGTGTTTCTGTTCTATGGCCATCGAAATTTGGTCCCTTTAAGTAAACAACAAACTTCGAGGTATATCCAGCTCAGCTAGCTTGATTAGGCGTTGATTACGAAGGGTGTTGGTACCGATAGCGAACTTAACAGGGAATGGATCAGGACCGCTGTTATTCCATATAACCCAGGGCATCGGAGGTCATTCGAAGTATTCTAAACACGGCTAACATAAACATAGCTTTCCAGAGGGGGACACTGCGCTCTGTACTGAATACTCTTCCCTCTGATAATCGCACACCAACATGTGTTAGTCCGAGTGACTCAAGACCGTTCTTCACACACCTGCCAGTTCCACGCCTTCTATTCTGTTAACACTGGGATGCTTGGCGATTTCTACCGCCTCGGTTATCAGTCTCTGTGACGTGAACCGCAGTCCTTGCCTCAAACCCTCAACATTTTACAAATCTATTTTGTGTCCCGCGCCAGTGTCCAGTGCACGTTCCGCAGTTGCCTAGTCTTCCAGTAACGTTCGATATTCATCTGCGTTTCTCGGTAGCCAGTTTATTTTTCTACTATGCGCTCGGATTCTGATGTGTAGTTCCCTGGACGTCTGTCCTATATAGATCTTGGTGCAGTCGTTTCACTTAGTTTTGTAGACAGTCCCTGGTTCTGTTTGCCTGGGGCGATCTTTCAATTACACCAGCGCAGAGCGCAGAGTGTTCCCTCTCTGAAAAGCTACGTTTATGTTAGCCGTGTTTAGAATACTTCGAATGACCTCCGATGCCCTGGGTTATATGGAATAACAGCGGTCCTGATCCATTCCCTGTTAAGTTCGCTATCGGTACCAACACCCTTCGTAATCAACGCCTAATCAAGCTAGCTGGATATCCAATACCTGGAAGTTTGTTCTTTACTTCAATTTGGGCAGCTGTCCGATCAGCTTCTTCTTCTTCTTCTTCTTCTTCTTCTTCTTCTTCTTCTGTACACAGGGCCCTTACACGCCTAAACATTGATGAGGCAATACTCGTGGATACCGACTTCGGATGGGCAGCGAGTAGTTCAAAACTGCCCCAGTGTCGGCTGACCTCTCGTACACTGTGGCCTTTAGCCCCCCCCCCCGCCTTGCATCTTGTGTTTACCGCACTTTCACTGTCTATGGGTTGAGGTTTGGCATTTTCAGGTGATGGGCGATCCTAAATCGCTGTCTGTAATGGTGTAAATTTACGCATAAAAACAAAGATGATCTTTCTAGTCCAGGAGAGATTAGGTTTATGTTGGCCATGTGTAAACGGAACTCCAGTTTGCGGCTCTCAATTGCCGGGCGAAAGCCACCCCTGACGCTTCCCACATTATACATGTGCACTTGAGTGCACACTACCTTTGCTGAGAGGATCAACAGCTGAAGGTGGTCAACGCCTTTGGTGAGGCCCTTGTGTGATTTCCCCAATGCGTCGGACATCTATACCTCCTAGATACTCAAGAGACAGGAGCGATGGGAGTTTAAAAAATCCTGAATGTGAACCCCAGTTTCAAATCACGGAACATCTGCCCGGTAAGGAAACGAGAATTTGCGGGCTCGAAATTTAGTCGAATAAATCTTTCTCATCCTTAAATCTGTGTGAGCTCTGGTACGCATTCAGAATTTCCTCCTCCTCTTTCTCCTCTAAATTAACCTAAATCTTAAAACTTTGCTAGGTGAATCTGAATGAATTGAGAAGCAAGCCACCAACTTGCAGAAGACAGTATGTTTATTCACCAAAAGCAATCCTTACTACGAAACTGATTCTCTCAACGCAGTTACAAGGTGCTCCATCTAATTTGAACGACCTCCAGGGACAAAGGATGATTCTAATAAAATAGGATGTGGGTTCATACAGGTACACATGCAAAAGACCACAGAAGCACTAATTAAACTATAATGGGGGAGGTTTTTGAGTTCACTGCATACTCAAGACAAAAATAAACCCTATAGTTTTCTTGAAAACCTAATAGATCTAAAAGACACTCCACGATGTTTATGTCAATTTGCAATAGATTGGCGTCCTCTGAGATCATAAAGGCCTTATCTCTGAATGTTGTAGCAACCTCCAAGTAATTTACGGCCGTCAGTGAATCCGGAAATTAGCAGCCTGCTGGCGAGAGTAGCTGTGGCTCCTACTCAACCTAACGGCATCTGAAGTTGCATTTTAAAAGGCACACTACTTATAAAACCATCTTGGAAACCCGGCAAAAAGTGAAAATCCACATACCATAGGAAGTCGCGTAGTTTTAGTTATCTACAGGGGCAGCATGTGAGTGTATCTGAACGCAACTTATTTACAAACACGGATCAGCTAAACCGACAATTCAAAACAAGCCTTACTTCTCACATTAACTTACCACATCACATTCCCCCAGCGTAGGCCATTTATCCGGCCCGAAGTCGCCAACCCTAATATCCACTTGTAACCCTGAAAAAGAATCGTATCTCATTTTAAAATTTCGATATGTTATCCTTGTCAAGAAAACTTACGTCTGAAATTCGGTCATTCGGAGAACTGGTATTCTTAAAATCGATTTGCGAATGTGCTCATTGTGATGATAAGCCACTTTGTCACTCCCACCAATCTCTGATCCCATCTCTGAGAAAAAGTTAGGGGGTCATTTGGCCTAACACAGGTGAGCTAAATTCCGACTTCCCGACTGAGGCGGAAGTGTTCAGCTTCTGCTGGGTGGCAACAGTAAATTAGTTGATCGTTGTTGCCTCTGTTTTTTTGAGCACAACTGGTTCAGATACTGTCAAAAACGTTCATACATGTCCAAGAGTCGAACGATGCAGCATTCAAGTTACGGAATCTGTTTAAATCGATATAGTGTTGGAAAATACTATAGCCGGGTGTCTCAGTATCTGGACCATGACTTTTCCAGATACACTATGCCAGTCCTGAATGAGACCTTTGCAAACAATATCTAATTCATTCAAAATATCTAGCTAATAACTTTTAAACAAAAATAATTGCCCAACCTGTTTCAGGGCGGTTGAAATTTTCATCGGCACATCGACCACTGAACAAAATACATTCCCAACTTTTTCTAATCAGCTTGAATCCGTCGATTAGCCGGATCAGGGTTTAACTAGATTCAGCTTAAGAACCACTACAAACAGAGGACAAATATTCCATCCGAGGAACTCGTGGGCTATCGGCTGTCGACTACCGAGCATCGGAACAACAAACCACGAAACATGGAACGCCTCAGAGTTACATGAACAAAGGTAACAGAGTAGATCTCAGAGAAGTCAAGGAGAAAGATCATTACAACACCGACAGCAGGGCGAGAAAAGGCAGGCCAAGGTTAGGGGTTACGTGGGCATCGGAAGATCGAAACACAGGACAAATAGGAGCGCCCAACTGAGTAGCCAATGGTGATCAAAGGCCACCTCCGAATAGCACACACACACAGCCCTACTCAGCGCATACCTCTGACTCATGGCTACACCCTACTTCCTAACAGCGCACTGATGATTTCATCTCAATTGGGTATGAAACTTTTACAATAAAGTCGCTTAGCTTTGTGAAGTAACAAAAAACCATTTGGGCTACCTGAGCTTCCAACAGTAATAAATGGGAGAGTCCACTTGGTCTTTTCTGGGATGAGGTTTAACAAATGATGTTACCCGAGAGATAGCGCTGTATTGCATTCCTTGAATGATACCAATTTGATTGTGATGGAAGAGTCACCTGGAACCCACCAGAGTCTTTCGCTGATGATGTTCTTCAAATAAATGTACTGAACCAGACCGCTCCGTGTTTCAGGTGGTGAGATATTCGACATATCGTGATACATTGTACAAACGTAACACACCATGAACGTAAGATCAAGCTGAAATTAAGTTGAGTCTACCGTGCAGATCTAATTCGCATATAATTGGCCAAATGTATCCAATTCCGGTGAGAGTAAACCAGAAGGTTGAGGAAAAGTCAGCGACTGCGCCTACGTGGTGAACACCAAGAAGAGCATAATCGATCGTAGGCTGTCGGGGCGTTTTTAGCAATATTGTGGACAGTTTATAACGTCTATACTGTTATGTTCTGTTCACGCAGTAGCTCAATTCACATCGTCAAATCTAGGGTTACGTGGTACAGTCTTGTAATAGTAGACGAAACCCTCAGAAGTACCAACGCAAATGAAATGCACATAAAAATAAGACTACTGACCATAAAAGTGCACTTCGTTTTACTAGCGTGTGTATTTTTGTGGCTCCTATTATATGCTCGATAGCTTATTTCACTTTAGTCTCTGTTTGTTCACCTGAAGATTGCAATTCCATTTTTTTCACAAACGTCGGTTTGACATTCAGTTGGCCGGATCTTACTAACAAGGTTTGGATAGATGTATGAGCATTCCACAATCTTTTATGATCTTGAGACTATCGATTAACAACAGGTTTGGCCGGTAACGTATCGAATTAGGTTCACCCACTAGCCAGATGTGCGTTTTCTCCGTTACTCATCCCCAAATCTGTAGTGTTGTGAACATGAACTATGATAGGGTTTCTCGTACCGTACACAGGGCAAGTTGGACCAAGTGGTTGGAGCGCGAATTTGCTGACCGGAAGGGCCGTGGTTCGAACCCGACCTCTGCCTCTCGACTTCCCCTGTCTAGGCTTGGGCAACGTGACAGTTTCTCAGCCCTCGTGCCTCCCTCGTGTGGCACGGCAGCTAGGCACCGAAAAGGCGCAACAGCTAAACGTACCGTACACAGGAAATCAGTGTCCAGCTTGGAATTGTGCAATCCAAAAGACAGAACTTGTAGATTCTCAGCTTTTCCAGTACCTTTGTTGGGTTATGATAGACTTTTTTTCTATTTTATTGCTTATCTACTTTGTATGTTAACTGGTCCACTTGGGGTGTCTGAGATATCTGGTATGGGGGAAATTCGTTCTGTCCGGTCGTTGAGCTTTGTAATTAATGTTTTATTATTGCCTCGTGGCTGCCCAGCCGGGTTTCCTTATGATTGCTGTAACGCTTTCTTTTGATACCGCAGCGATTTATTCACTGGTTTTTGCCCTGCTGTTTTTCCACCAATTCCTCTCATGGCTGTCCCATAACCATCACTCCCAAAAAAATCCGTATCATGTGTCCATACATTTCTGGTCAAGGGACTTTTAGGAGTGCTGGAACCATAGAGGCACTACTCATTGGTCTTTGGCAGTTTGCTCAGTAGGAAGTCGGAATGTTGTTGAAAATTGTTTTGCTAACCTACAGTAATCTAACAACAGAATTTGCTAAGATGAAGATGAGCCTTCAGTAGATCCGACAGCTGCAGTGTCGAGCATGTGTACATGTGTTGAGATGGTACAGCATCACCTGATATCATGAACCATGAACCTGAAGCATGCAGTTCCAGCAAAAATCATGTGGTTATTCTTATCGTCCAACGTTTATTGTGTGAACTGCCTGTAATTTGTAGATGGACTAGTCAAACAGGTTAGAGAAACTCACTTAGACTCTCCGGATCATCTGAGGGATAAATTTATTATGATTCATTTACATTTTTACAACATACACAGATACTTCTTAATGCATTGTTCATAGGTGGAATTTTCACACAGCAATCTTTCCCGACCAAACTGGGTGCACTTCAAATTGGTTTTGGTTCGAAATTTTAAGGATCAACCTTGGTGAGTTGGGTTTGTGCGGTTCAGTGCGGCATACAGTATGGACATAGACGTTCCTGGATTTGTAAAAAAGGTGACTGTTTATCTACACCAACTGACTTTTTCGTGAAAGTTCGGCATTCTAAACGTATCGAATACCCCCCAAACAGTAGTAATTATCGGTGTTTGCTAGACAGAATATATCAACTGTTCTCACTCAGATTTGTAGTGTGAGAAGACTTGGGAATACTCAATTGAGATTTTGCATTGTGAGTGAACCCAATCTACACTGAGAAGCCAGGAAACTGCTTCATCCTTACTGGAAATCATCAACAATCTGAGGAAACTCCGATGAGGAGTCGAGAATCCACGACCTTCCGGTTAGTCTTTTGAACACTTCACCTGAGTACAAGCGGCTACTCAGCAGTATGATTAACTCATACCTAGGATATAGCGCCATTTGTTTTTCAATCACAGAATTCACACCAAGGTGGTTGCATGTGAGTGACAAATTCTCATATAGAAAGCTAATTCATTGTGCGAATTTTTTATTCTTCCGCAGCTAGTGGTTTTATTGTGCTACAGATGATCATCCACGATCATCTTCGATCAATTTTCCGGGTACTTTAGATAAGTCACCAACTTTCCGGCAGTCGTCAAGCTTCGATGACCTCATCTTCCTGCCCCCAATTTGGCGACGTTGCTTGTTATAGATTGCTCTGGTGCACTGCTTGGTTGTTGGTCTCTTCACCGAGCCTGGCAGTTGGATTGTGAACGCTTCATCGCCAATCGGGATGGCATCGACACTGCGGAGTTGAGTGAATAAGGTTGTCCTCTAATTAAGCTCATATAGTTGGTTGGTTGCTCCCGAGGTGGTATTCGCGTAACTTGCTTTGGCAGCTTGGCATCCGAGCTATGTTGTCATCACAGTTCCTTGTATTTGCTTGGTTCGTTGGGCGCCTTGACGTCAACAGTTCAGTTCCACCTTTGTGACTGGACAACTTTATTCTTGCTTTTTGTTCTTTTTGATTGGTCGCCTGAATAACCTGTTTGATTGGATAACTTAAATTTGTTCGCGCACACCTTAAATCTGAGGGAACATTCTAGGCTGGGATAGTGAAAAAAATTGAACTCATACCGTTTCATGAAAGGGGATTTTGGTATGCGCTGTACGGACATGCTCCAAACTCTTTGTGACCATCAGTGATTTCAATATGAATAAGGTATATACACGTCTGGGTAGAATAGACGCCGTCCATCACATTGTCAGGAATTACTGCCCTCTTTGGTGTTGTTCCACGCTCCAAATGGAATTCGCTACACATCCTAACTTGTCCCTCAACTCTATGTTCAGGTTAACAGTAATGCTAATAAGTATTATCATGGAATAAAAAATATCTTAAACAAAATGGGCGCATCTATAATTGTCATCCTAGGTGGATTAACATAGACTGTAGATGAATACTACAAACTATGGAGATAAAAAAATATCCGGGAATGTGAGCGGGAGACTCCTGGCAGCATCAAAAAGAACATGAACAAGAAGGTGTTTGAAAAACAATCAACTGGCATAGAGACCAGGTCAGTTTTTTCTCCAGGCACTGTCGATTTATTTTCCGGTGGTATGTGTAGCATCGGAAAGGTAGTCTGCGATAGTGTTTTTCAAATAAGTGGCCAGTTGTTCAAGTTCGCTAAGGGCATATCATCTTACCCAGAAAGTTAGTCATTCTATAGGTATTCCCTGCGACAGTGTAAATTTGGAAGACGCTATGCCCGTTAATAAGACAGTAATCCATCAGTCTGTTACCCTTTACTGTTCTCTGGCGATAAACAGTGGATTTGGTCACCGTACTTATCGTGTAAAAAAGTTGGGCGATAAAATTGATCTCTTCAAGAGACTGCACCGGGACTTATCCGCGTCGTTTTTTGGAAGCTCTCAACGTAATCCTCGTGAATTTGGGCTCTACAAATTCAGTATTCTGCTGTCCTGCTTCGCGCAGGAGGGTTGTTCATTTGCTTCATATTCGACAAGTAGCAACCCACAGGCATAAGTGCTCCGCCAAGTTGATTTCAGAGAATGAACGTTTCTTAAGATCCGTACTGATAAATATGCTTATGTATTTGGTGATCTTTAAATAACATGCATCGAGGTAGTATGCACACTATTTATACCTTAAGACTCCTTGAGGTGGTTCACGTACTTTTGATGGTGGACACTTGTACAGCTCCCACTGTAGGCCTGAATAAAAACGCAGTAAGCACTGAACGATATATGATCCTAACAGATTGTTCTAAACGCACAACCTTAGAAGCTTCACACCGCACAAAAATAGTAACAAATTATGTTGATTAATCCAGTCCCCTCCTGAGAATTTGAGGAAAGTCTGGTATAAATGCACCGACTTGTGATTCTATCAGATTGGGGTTTCAAAATAAAAATGAATCAACTTTGATTGGGGCCTGTTGCATCATTGAACAGCTTCTAAGAAATTCAGCTGACCTGCTTAAAGACGGGAAAGACTAAAAAGATTTTGGCACTCACGTTGATAGGGAACTACTGGCAGTTGAAAATTCGACCCACAGCCATCTGCTATAGTTAAGGAATCGATAACTCCCTGCATCCTAAGCTTCCACTCTTCAGGGAACGCCATTTCTGCTGTTGGAAGTATTGTCAGGAATGATGCGCGGAAGTGGACCACCTTCCAGTAATCATGAGTAAGGAAACCTTGGAAGACCGTGCTAACATGCCGGCCTTTACCAACCAGTTTTGAAGTCAGCTTGAGCGAAATCAATGAAAGCGCACAAATTTTGGTTATTAAGATACAAAGCCAGATAGAGAGAACAAGTGATTTGCAGAATCTTTACAAACTAAGAGAAACTTGGTGAGCTGTTGTGTGAAATTGTTTTACCTCTCCTGAGCCTGGGCAACGTCTTGAAACTTGTCATAAGATAAGGCTTTGAAGTCTGGTCAGTAGTGGGCTTTTTGCAACCTGACGTTTCAGTACCATGTGCGACCTTCGCTAGGAACATAAAGTGCGCCCAGCAGAGCCATGTATGTGCCCAATGAGCAGTCTGTCAATGTTTCAGTAACAAACGCTGAAAACCGTTACCAGTCAACTCAGATAAGTTCCCCCTCAACTGAGCCCATCAGATGAACGCCTTTTCTGGTCTGTTCTGATTTATTTTTGGCATCTGTGTGACAGTAGAGCAATACAAATTTCTACTGCGCATGAAAAATTTACATTCCCGTCAAGGCAGCTGGCTTAGCATTCTGCTGTCAGCGATGGAAACTGGGTAAACTGAAAGCTTTTAGGTGACTCCTCCACTTTAACTCCAGACGTCTAATTTTAGTCAGTGCCGGATTATGTTTATATGGGATCACACTCATGATGTAAGTGTATAGAACTCTACAAAATCGACCACGTTTGATCGAGGCCTACCAAATCAGTCCTAAACAAAACAACAGGTTGCCCCGTTTGGTGAGCACTCCAAAAAGTGACACGAACCAGTGGTAGTACACCGCATTATCATGAAGACAGTTTGTTTTAAAGGAGAATTGTCTGTAGAAGTAGTTCCCGGAGAACAACTCAACCATGTTTGTCTCGGGAAAGGATTAAGTCTTTAAACGATATCGGGTTGTGCGAAGACAGTCTGCTTCCAGACGTCCCAATGGTGCTCAGCTGTTTGACTCCAGTAAACTAGCTTTTACTTGCAATTATGGTAAACCGGTGACGGGAACTTCGAAATTAAAGGTCGATTCTCTAGACACTCCGAAATAGAGTTTTTCTATCCAACCAAACAGACGCCACCGGATGGATTCTCTTTGACAGCCCAATCACGTGCAAGGAGGGGATGTTCAAGCTATCAGGCTGCACTCTGACGGAGGATTATAATTTTGGCAGAATACGCCTACTGGTTGTTTACGTTCAGTCCATGCCCACATAAAGCTCGGAGTTAGACTTGAACCATCTGGGACTGTTTCCTTGACATCTACTTTACTGGACATGTTCAGAGATCCTAGCATGCAAAGCTTCTTAACATCAACTTTCAGCTGTTGGCATCCAGCTGAAAGAAGCACGGGCGTTGATACACCGCTAATTTGCCCAAGCCTAGAGAGGATCAATGGAGATGTCATGGTTGGGTTCGAACCACTGACTTTCTAATCGGTAAGTTCGTTTCTTAACCGACTGAAGCTCACTTTTCATCTATTTACTAATGAATGTGTGCTGAAAATATCAGAAGTCTACCAAGAAGAATAAACTTTTTATACCTTAACTACTGTGCTTGTGACCAGGCCGGCTGAACGAGGTTTATTTGGTTTACAGTTACTCTCTTCTCCATAAGGTCCGCAGATCACGCGAGCTACGAGTCCCAAAATATGATATCACGCATCAAATAACATAATCTTATTTCGTCAATTCTAACAAGGCCGTCCTCGTTTGTAAGTGCTGAATAGTTGTAAATCGTGGCAGTGCGCCTAGAGGCAAACAATCATCTATCCGCCGGTCACATGATGCCTTGGACTTTGGACTTCCCAGTTCACTTCATTCACGAAGTGCCTGAATTTGCTTCAGGGAGATTTATGAAACATAACTTCCATAAGGTCCGCAGATCACGCGAGCTACGAGTCCCAAAATATGATATCACGCATCAAATAACATAATCTTATTTCGTCAATTCTAACAAGGCCGTCCTCGTTTGTAAGTGCTGAATAGTTGTAAATCGTGGCAGTGCGCCTAGAGGCAAACAATCATCTATCCGCCGGTCACATGATGCCTTGGACTTTGGACTTCCCAGTTCACTTCATTCACGAAGTGCCTGAATTTGCTTCAGGGAGATTTATGGAAACATAACTAACTGCAGAGAAAAAAAACAAGGAAAGTGTGCATACTATATGTTTACCATGGCTCAGCCAGCTACATGCACAAACGGGACCTTTCCGAAGAAGACTGGACTGGCATTTTACTGAGATTGTTCACGTTTGGGCTTGTCGTCGTCTCAGTGTTCTCACTTATTTTTCGGGGTCAAAGTGAACTGTCGAACGATTTTTGGAGATCACAATAAAAGATAAAGACTGGAGTCTGTTGGAACGACTCTTTCGGGAAATGTGTTAGCTAAATAGATGTGGATGTTGTCATAAATCAGAAGTTCAGTTGCTTCTGGTTAACAGATTTATAGCCCGCAGATGCGTTTCTTCCTTAGGCTTGATTTTTATTGAAAAAATGTCACCACTCTCAAAATCCTCGGAGAATCCATGAGCGATATTGCGGTGTTAACCAGGATCACTGGAAAAGATCCCTGGATTTCAACTTACCATACAAATAGTTTGGAGTTCTTTAACCACCTATATTCCAAATACTTCAGAAATGGCTCATGACAAACGGATTAAAATATGAATGAAACAATAAAATTAAATCACGTGGAAATAGTGCTATTAACACGTAGTGGTCGAGGCTTTGAGGTACACCGTTGAAAATGACCAATTTCGAAGAGATCACAATACAACGGGTCATTCAAATTTTAAATATTCTTCTTGTGCGTCAAAGAAAAACTACCAGCTTCTTCATTTTTGACATCAAGGCATCCGTGCCTGTCCCGAGCGGCTGTTTATCGAGAAACGAAATTGCGTCACGACCAAGCTGAACATAGACATTTATCTCTGCAAATAAATAGGAAATAATTTCAATTTCCCCAATTGCACAACCTCTTGTTGCCAGTTGCAAAAGTCCATGTGACAGAGCAATAAAGAGTAAGTATCACACTTACCGTTTGGATAGTGTACTGTTGAATCCTCTCTGATTCTCATAGTTCCGAATGCTATTCAGATACATAAGGTTAAAAAGTCATTATTTTGAGCCGTTTTTAACATGAGACGTCAGTTGCGCACAAGGTTTACGGCATCTCAGGTATTATGTCTAACTGTTGAGGCCAAAGAAAGGCAAAATCGGTCAGAGTTTTCAACAACCTTGTGAGTGTACGTCATGGATTCTCATAGTTCCGAATGCTATTCAGATACATAAGGTTAAAAAGTCATTATTTTGAGCCGTTTTTAACATGAGACGTCAGTTGCGCACAAGGTTTACGGCATCTCAGGTATTATGTCTAACTGTTGAGGCCAAAGAAAGGCAAAATCGGTCAGAGTTTTCAACAACCTTGTGAGTAGTACGTCATGTTAAGATAAACACACCTTTTTGTTCTTCCCGAAAGATATCAGCTGCGACTCGGGTCCACCCAAAATCCTGACAAAGCATCTGGTTTATAAGGAACAGTTTCAATTCTCGATCTAGCACGTTTGCAAGTGAGCGCTGGGCTATTTCCGATACTGTCGTAGTCAATAACACAGTGGTTTGGATCGGTAACGACTGTGTAATGTGATATTGATAGATTCGGCAACCAGTAAACCAGTGATGTTTTTCAATGCCCTTGAAAGAATCAAAAGAAAATTCCAAAACAGATTTATCAATACACACGCAGATTTTTGGCCTTTAAAGATTTCCCTAAAACCTCAAAAATTTACTTTTTCCCAACATCCTGCTAACAAACACCATATTGCTGTGTCATGTGATTCTGGTTCCCGTGGAGACTGAGGTGGTAGTTTCATGGTAGTTTTAAATGAAAGGAAAGTATAAAATGAGAAACGGGTACACCCTCCAGCGTCAGAATTCCAGTGATTGAAAAGTTTGGGCTTTTTTGGACAACGAACGATTACAAAATAAAGAATTTATTGACCGAAGAACCCTGATTGGAGATATGTCTAAAAAACCAACTTATTTTACGGTTGCAATCTATTTAGCCAGTTACTAAATCAGGTTTCTAAATTTGATTCCAGAGTGTCGATGACTACTATCTTATTCGTTTGATGAGTGTCTCTGATCAGACTCATGCTAACTCGTCAGCAGCAGAGCTTTATTAGAATTGGTGTTTTAAGGAGATGCGTTTGTCGGTTGACTGAAAGACTAGATATTCTGGCAGAGCAGATTTTCTCTTGCAACTTTACTTGGGTTCAAAATAGCTGGGCGATTAAGGCGGAAAGTTTCTATCCAAAGGGTCAGTGGTTCGAATTCCAAACCGGCATTTCAGTTTTTATTTTCTAGGGCTTAAGTAACCCCACGGTATCTTAGTCCTCATGATTTCTACTAGTGACGCTGCAGCTAGGTACCAAAAAGGTGTTGCAACAGCTTCAGCTCAATTAAGCTTAGTATCAATCGGAGACTCAGTTGCAATCCACCTGATGACTTCGCACACGACAGGCTACTGAAAAGTTCTCAACATGATTTAGTCATTAAATTCTTGGAATTATTTTGCAAGGCTGAAAGCGGTGTTTATTAATGACTTCAGATGCCAAAGAGCCTATCCTGTTTTTGCTATGAAATATGACTGATATGGCGAATGGAGCCAACCAGTTGCAGGCTTTACCAAAGCACGGCCAACAGTGGACCTCGCTGATGTTCCTAGAAAAGTGAGTGACATGAAGTGGCATTCATGTGGAAAATTACCATATCTCACATTGAGTGAGACAAGTGCATACCTGCTACAATGCGATTAACGATTTTTAGATTCAACAGAGACTTCATCCTGCCAGTAAAGCCAATCTGTGCCTAAAAGCCGAGAGGCGCAATATATCTGTTTCAACCTTGTTAGGAACCATCAACTCACACACCTCAGAGAGTTTTGAACTCGTAGCCTTCCGGCCAGTCGTTGAACATTTAACTGTTTGGCCACCAGTGGCTGATGAGCATTAAAATCAGCTCACGATTACACAGGACATAGCGCCACTCATCCTCCAACGGCGAAAACCAAACCACGTGGTCACTTTTCGAATGGCTCCTTAAGTGACTATCTCACAGAGAGAAGTTTCACACATTCGTTGAAAGTATCCTTTGGCTGATTTACTTATTAGTCCATGATAATTTGTAAATCATTATGCAAATCTGGTAATACTGTGAAATTCGCTACCTTACCAAATGAATCTGCCTCGCACTTTAAAGGGGATCTTGCTCCAACCGTTAGGCCGCAACTATTCCAAAGCGGAACTTTCGTCCAATGGCGGATCCACTCGATGGAACCATGCTGCTCAATTAATTGTTGAAGATGTGAATCAACCCACATCGCACGTACACTCCCGTACGGTTGCTTACGTCACTAGCTAGAGTGCAAAACTGAAGGAATTATGCTGAGTAGTTATCAGGTTTGTATAAACTTGATTTAATTGTCTGGATTTTACATGCGAAGCACGTTTCCTGTATCAGTGCACACTCTAAGTTATTGAAAAGATAGAAAAATGATTTACTTGTTTCAGCCAAAGCTAACATATATAACAGTTTGGCACCGTCATAGCTGGTTTTTACTTTCAGTTGATACACTTTCTGGTGCTGCAAACGTTCACGTTGTTTGTGCGTTTGTAGGTTCAGTACGGGCCTAGTGTGCTGTGACGTAATCCAGAAAACATTCTAATACTGAGAAACTTGTATCGCTGATTGACAGCCCTCACCTTGAATGTGCCACCATCTTGAAACTGACGGTTTGGTACTAGCCTGGTTTTAGCCTGAGCAGTTACCCCCAGAAAACCTCACTCTTCCTTTTCTGAACCAATCAAAATTTGGGACGGTTTGCACTCTGAAAGCATTCATGTGATTCTTGGAACCTAGCCTGTCTGGCTATCTACTTGGCGGTCTGGGTTGATGTGTACTAATTTAGGAAGTGCAAGGCACCAAGAGGCTCTGCAATGCCAACCCGACATTATCGGCACAACTGGTGATCGAACACTCAAATAGGTAACTGTACCTCGACACAAATTTTGGAATGTAAAAGTTTAGGTATTTCTCCAGTTTGTTCGGCATTCCTTATACGATCCGGATCGATTGGTGCTTGCAGCAAAATTCTTAGCTCTGTAAGAGAAAGACGGTTTTAAAATGTCTTAACAATGAATGGTAGTAGGATAGATTTTGACAACAATTTGTTACTCGCTGGAGCTTCAACTAGGCCTGCTGTTACAAAGACCGTTCATGTTACTTTGAGTACCTCAAAAGCCGGTAGAATAGTTGAGAACTGGCAATCAGTTCTGGACACTAGGTCTAATCAGCATGTACCTGCGTGCCAACATGTTTCATCTGATCCATAAGCTAAATTGTCCTAGTCGAGTGTTTCGAATTCCATCCACCGACTATCAGAAAGCACGGAAACAATGAGTAGTTGTCCCACCTTTGTTCAGAGTGATCAGCAGGCGGCATCACAAACAGTCCTTAGGCAGATTCAAATCTGAGACCTCTCATACTCCGCTCTTTTCGGTTACAAATGCCTGGAAAGTTCAGTACGAGCAGTCTGTACTTCTGCCTGCTTCCATAACAACCTAGTTTTAAAGGGTGTGAGTTTGACGTTTTCTAACAGGCACGGAGCAACCACAGTGTTAACCACTTTCCAGTAGCATAGCATTCCTTAGTGCTTACTTTGAGGTAGACCTGCTTAAACGGTGCTTGCTGTTGCACTTGCCGTCTTTGGTCCATACCCCAGCAAAGGAGAACTTAAGGGAAACAAACAAATAGTTAATGATGCGAGCACTTCGATTTTGCGCGTGAGCATATTTCACTGCAAGCCGATTGAGATCGTACCTCGCGATTACTGGGGGACTCAACAAAGGAGTGAACACAAACAGCATAAACTGGACTACACTCCTAAAAGCTTGGCTCCGTTTCCATGTCGCCTCAATCAATTGAACGCTCAAATTTGTGATCCTGATGGCACACTTTCCTCTGTATAGGCAAGAGCGCGGGCAAACCTTCTGAACGGAACTCACTGATCGCAAACAGAAACAACGCAATTACTCTTTTGAAGCCGATGACAGATTTCGCTCTTGCGGTTGATCTACTTAAGATTTTGTTAACTCCTTTTTCTGCCAGAACACCAAATCTTACTGATTTTTGCGAAATTCATGTGTAAATTACGCTGGTATTAACAGGAGGGTTCATCAAACTGCAGCTGAGTCTCGAGTTCAGAGCAAGTTAGTTTTCGAATGAATGTAATTCACACAAAACTCAGGCAGTTCACATGGGGTGACCCAAATAATCAATGCTTTCTTTCCACATCTGGGAAACAACTCACGAATAAACCATACTTCGACTAGTGAATTATTCCTCGTACGGATGACTAGAGTAAAGATGGCTTCCATTTGAAAACATGCCGACCAGCTGAAGTTTCCCCTATTAAGGTGACTCTTGTATATTTCCCTGACATCCGTAAAATGGATTATTGTCGGCATATGGAACTAGGCACATGGTGATAAGAAAGATCCGGTTTCATCTTTCATCAACGAGGTTCCAATCTGAGATGACTGTTTGATTCCACATGCATTCGAACTGAAGTTCCAACAAAAATTAAGGTAAAAGGAATCCACAAAATACACTCATTTGTACACCAAGGGGTGCACAACTAAATACCGGTTGCATTGTTGTCCAATAATTCTCTCTTCAATAGTCCAAGGGATGAAGCGCGAGAGTACTGACAAACAGGCCCATAGTTTGAACCCAACCACGGAATTTCAACAGCTCTTATTTAGACACGGGCAACTTGGCAGCATCTTGGCGCTCGTGCTCCCTCCTGGTGGCATGGGAGCTGAACACCGGAATGGTAAGACAGATAAGCGTTTTTTTTTACTATATTTGTTTAATTCAACTACAGATGGGTTTGCTGAGCAGTATCCTTTAGGTTTAAAGGATGTTAAAAGACATTTTGACCGAATCAGGTTTGTCGAAGAATTTAGCTCATTGTTCGAGTCCCGTAACATTGAGTGCTACCCAATGCGTGGATCGA